TAATTATAGGAAATACGTTTTTCTAAGGCACATAAACTTTTGGAATTGACTGTATAGCCAATACGTCCTTAATCGGACAAGGGTTTAGGAACTACGGACATATTTGTGTTATCAATTTTCTACAAGGTAACAAGTAAAAGTACTTTTCTATATCTTCCATCAAATTCATTAGTATAATTTTACGAAACGTCGTTCCTGCATCGGGGGTGAGATCGAAGCCGGCTATAGCCGACATTTCGTCCCAGTGTATCTGCCGTATAGCCGGATTGCGGAAAACTGTCAGCAGTGGTATATATTGCTGTGACGAAAGCAGCAATTGAAGAAACATAGCAAAGATCTAGAATATTGCTAAATAAAACTATCTTAGAAAGATCACCTTGAACCATTTAATATTCTCGATGAGCTGATGACACAGTTTAAGGGGTGCAGGTTGTTGCCAAGGGTCTGGATCGTCCGGCGATCCTACAAAACTGAACGAAAATTTATAGTCCAGGGAAAGATGTAACTATCGTGATACAGCGGTTACTATCATCTTTAATAACATTTTCAATACCTGTAAGCGTAACTCATTGCGAGTTCCATTTTTATCCTCGTCTTATACTGTTTACTGATTTTGTTAAAGTCGCCGAAATAATCGGTCGCCTTGCTCTCGATGAGATTCGAATCCAAGTACTCAAACGGCCCGTCCAACCAGACGTCCCGATGTCGTTGCCATTGATAACCGCGGTAAATTAAATCGTAATAGGGCATTATATTTTCTTTCAGTTCATTGATACGGGGATATACGGACGATGGGTACTGAAACAGATTCTCCTCTTCGTTTATATGTTTCACTCTCTCGTCCATACGGTCTAAATCGCGAGCGAATTTTCGCATATACTCGATGTACTCTTTAATACGGTTCGCGTCATCCATATGATTCATTATTTCTAATCTAACAAGGATAAAACAATAATTGAATGCGTCTATCCGTATGTCGTTCCGTATATTCCATTTATCGTAATGATTCACCTAGGGAACATGCTCTCGACTTCCGCGTTCAGAGATTCCACCTTTTTATGAAGCACCTCTTCCAGCTCGTATTTCGTTTGCTCGTACAAAGCGCTGTTGTACTCGAATATCGGTCTTATTCGCTTTAACCAGTGAATCGTAGTATTGTTCAACTCGATGTGACTTTTAGTCAACGTCGTCATTCCGATCAACGATGCCATCATGCGCAACGACAAAGTAATCTTCTCCTCCAACGCTCTCATCAACGTCGACGCAGCGTACAACATGTATTCACCTGAAACACTTAGTCGTTTCACCCGATCTCGCATACTCCCTCGTAGTACGATTTATTTAATGATTCACCCAATTCGAGTAATTCCTTGGTGGTATTAGGTACGTTCAAAGCACGTTCTCTTATTTCTTCAAAGGTATTACAAATCTCGAGATTATATTCTCGATGACTTCTGGCTAATTCTTCGATGATCAAAGCGCGCACTTGTTCCGTGTGGTAGAGAAGTCCCACTTTCGCTGCGACTTGATTAATGATTCCTATCGAAAAGTACTCGTGATCCGGCTAGAGATAAATCGCGCGTTGGTAATCATTCTTCGAAAATCGAAGACACGTTGTTAATTTACCATTCCATTTATTTCACGAATGGACTCGTTAAAATACTCGACTTTCTCCACGTATTCTTGGAAAGAATGCCCGGTCCTGACATAAACAACGATGCTCTTGATCGTTTCTGGATCGAAGACTATCTTGAACTTCTCGTGCAGACTTTTGACGTAGTCGGTGAACGGTCGAAAAGCGTTCTCCAGAGCCTCGGTGAGTCGTCGGTAAGTCTCTGCTAAATACCATTCTGGCAGTATAACTTTGATGTAATCGCGTTTTATCTTCGCGCCGACCCAAGAATCCAGCGGAGGCAATTGTTGGCCGACGTAACTGATGTGATCGACTATGATGTGAAACGCATTGCAAATTTCGTGCATCGTCGGACTGAGGAACAGATCGTTCTTCTCACATTTTAGATGCATCTACAGGATGGAAATGTTTAGGGACGAGGAATCGTTCTGTTTTTGTTCATCTCGTATGAGTGCGTACTTACCTTGAACAACGGTAACTTGTGATCGTCGTTAAAAACTCGGATCAAATGTTCTATGGTGTCGATCATTTTCGTGACCACTTGCAACGCGAGTAAATTGTTGGCACAATTAAGGAAATCGGATAAAGACTGTGGCGGTACGTCGTAGAGGTAGCGGGGTTGGGAGATGAGTCTCACGATGTCACCATAGTAAGTACTGGCGATCGCAAGTGCGCCTTTTTTCGTGTCGCTCTCGACCAAGTCCAAGAACCTTGCGGAGAAACATAACGATTTCGCGTGTTTCGATGATGGTGATGCAAAACGCGATATCACTTCGTTACGGTACATATGTACGGTATCGAATTGATAGTCTCTGAACGTTAACTCATCGTCGTGAGAAGAATGATCACCTGTTAAAGTCGAGATAATCCATCTCCTGGCGATACCGGCCGAAGTCGCAAATGTACTTTGGCATCAGTAAATGGGCCCTCGCCACTATGCTCCTCATCAATCTGTGAGGTAAATAATACTTTCTAACGAGAGCGCATCGGTTCTTCAGAAACTTGGGATAAAGCTCCGTTCGTCCAGCAAGCTTATAGGGAGGTATACGTCCTAAATCTAAATTACAGGGTTCCAAGCATTCGATCGCTATTATTCGTTTCACGGAGAAGTCGTGCATCGCTTCATAGTAACGCGTTCTTGTTTCAAGGATCTGCTCCTCGAATATGTCCGCGTATCTGCATCGCAGTTTAGGTGATATCAAATTTCGTATGCTCTCTTCCCATTCCTAAATGGTAGTCAACGTTCTACTTTGTTCGCGAGTAATTTTTTGATCGCATTCTGAAATCACGTACTGGTAACAGATTGTTCGCAGGTAATCTGTCCGCGTACTCTTTCATCTTTGTAAAATACAAGCTCTGCGGCTTTTGCAATTTACACTCCTTGGAGGGTTGACATTCGCTCGGTTTCCTTTCATGATGGATCTTGGATTTCGTGACCGCCAATATCAACGCCTGTCGTGCTTCTTCGATGTCGCTGACCTTTCGGAGAAAAATCAGCTTTTCACGTCGATATCATTTCCTAAACTTACACTATTAGATCGTTGTACCCTTTGCAAATGAACCGTATTCTTCGTAAATTCTTCGATATCGGAACGATAACTGATACTCAGATCCGGGGGCACTTCGCAGATCATGTTTTGATTCTCCTCCTCCGCGTCTGGCATGTTGAATTTATTTATTCTATACCTAAATTGTTCTCCGATAAATTACTTGTTTGCAGCTGCATATGCAGTGCAAACACGCGGATTATGGTTATGAAGCTTTTGAATTGAAAATCGGCTAGTTTGAAGGCGATTGAACGTTATCGCTTGTTCCTAAATTCGCTGAATGACAATTTGCCGCGATGTTGATGAGCGTCACGGAACCCTTCGTTCCTCGTCAGCGACATTGAGCTATATAAAATATGTTTTATAGCAAATGCTATTTATCGATAAAATACAACTACACTGTATACTCTTAACTTTATAAATTTTATTTTTCAATCTGAAGTTTACAATCTATTGGCATACATGAAAGAAATGCTCATACATACAGAAGACAATTTTACATATATATGTACATAATTTGAGACTACTATTTATTTGTTCCTTCTTTATTTCTATTATCATTTTCAATGGGTTCTAAATCAGATAAGAATGCTGTATATTGTTCCATGATATCTGATTCAGTAGTAACTCTACTTAGATCATCATAATCGGCTCCCACTGACCACAGTGTTTCTAAATCGTACAGTTCTCTAGTAGATTTTTCGAAAATGTGTAAGACAATATTTCCTGAGAACAAAATAAAGAACATTAATTTCATAAAAACTTCACGTCACGTGTAGTAAAGAGTATTAGTACCCAAGTCCAATGCTATCCAATCCTTAGAGTTTTTTCCTTCAATATTTGGCAATTTATCTGTCTTGTGTCTTTTTAATTTGAATACCTTTCGAATAAAAGTAGCAAGTGCAATCATATGTTTATTCGATTTGCCTGTTGCAACAACTATGAAATCCACATATGATAGTTCGGAAGGCACTGAAGCTACAAAAATATTTCTGGCCTTATCTCTTCGCAATAATTCTACAAGTTCCTCTATATCGAACACGCCAGTTACACCACCTAAAATACATTGTAAAGTTTATATAAGACCCATCATTTAACATGCAATATGTATATATATATTATTTTACTCGTATGTACTTACGCGTTAAATTAATGCCCTCGTAAGGATCCGGCTTTTTCTCTTCAGCTATTAAATCTTCAATATCAATTGTCTCTTGTTTTTCACTAATATCTAAAATGATTTCAGCATCTTTGTCGTCAAAAATTTTATGAGTATTGCTAAGCGAGTTCAGGTTATCCGATTCACTATTTTCGTTTCTGTCATCGTCAAAATATTTTTTATTCTGACTTGAAAATGTTCTAGCTTGTTTTAATCGGGAATATGTTACTACGTTGTTTGTATAAGGTTTGGCATATTCATAAAACAATTTTCTCGTTTGCAATAAACTGGACAATACGCGACTTCGCATGTTGTTTTACTCGTAGTTTTCTTCGTCCTATCCTATCCATGTGCCGATACACATGATGTAGCACGGTAAGGTTATGTTTGTATTTATATTGAAATTGTAATCTCATCATAAAGTAATACAAAGCAATGAACGCAAAACAAATTTTAGACAAAAAGGATAGGATTAATAGTAGACATTTTTATAGTAATTGAGGTGACCAATTTATTAAATTGTCCAAGAGGCATACATTAATAAAATGAACTCTCTGCATATAAGAAATACATTGTATCAATAATTGAAATACAATTTATCCACGTGAATCCAGTCAGAAGGATGTTATCTCCACAGCTGAAACAAAAGATTGATATAATTAATGTAACTTTGAGTCACTTCTTAGTATAGATGGAAACATGTATAAATTTGAGACTTACAGAGATTGCAAATATAAATTTACTTAGACCTCGCACGCATCTTCCTCCTTTTGCGCTTTAGCCTCCGCATCCTCTTTTTACGCCACTGGAAACAAAAAAATTATTCTTAATACAATACGTATCCTTTGTTTACGGTTATACAAGTAATTGTAAGAACGAAATATGACTAAATCGAAGTAAATAACTTCGTAAGGTATTGCGAAAAGCTTCAAAAAAGACAAATTTGTACGTTAAAAATATTCAGCGATCGTATTAAACAGCCACGCGTCGTGAACAACACTATTCGAGGGATGTTAAATTGAAAAGTTAAAAAAAGTACGAAACAGTGGATTTATCGTAGAAAATATTAGAGTTAACGAAAGAAGTTGATATTAACTTACCTTTGCTCTCATTCTGGACCTACGAGATTTCTAGATTATCCTAGAATCTCTCGATTGTTGCGGTGGTCAAACCTTCAATTTGCTTCACGTTTCAGTGCCAGAATGGGAAAGGTTCTGGAGCCGGAAACATCATGCTACGTTACTTTTCAATTTGCCAGTAGAGGACCTGAGCTTGTCCGATAGGTTGGGTATATACAAGGTGGTGTATATATATATTTATATACCCCTACTCCTCGGTATCCTTACCTTTCCCGCGTTTCAAGCTGTCTTCCCGCGAAAAACAGCGAAAACCTAACTTACTTCAATGAACAACATCTTTGCCATTCGGGGAGTGTTGAAAGTGCGTGAACTGCCGAAATAAATAATCAGTTCATACATTTATTTTATATGAAAGATGTGCATGAGATAACGACAAGTCTGATTCGCGTCCAAACAGTTTTTAATTTATATTTCTCCAAAAATAATTGGTTATTGCATGTAGGTTACCCATAGTACAAAGTAACGAGAAAACGTTGACAAATTTTAATAAAATTAAAGGCTTGCAAATTAAGATCTGTACAAATTTGTGTCTTGCATGTGCTAGTAAGCTTTATAAATAACGTATATAAAAATGACAAGTATTCAGACGACGATCCCATTTACTGAACGGAAAAGGTGCTCTTTCTATGGAGCTAAACATAAAATTGAAAACAAAGAAGATTTTACTAACGCGACCGTCAGGGATTCTTCTTACAAATATACACCGACAGTGAAAAAGATTATCACATTAAGTAGTAGCGAATCAGATTCAGATTCTGACGTGGAGAATGCAATAATAAAAAATAATGTAAAAGTCTGTGATCATACCGCGGGCATACAGACCCCGCGACGTACTCGAAAGTCGAGCGAATCTGACGGTACGTAAATAGAAGATTTCGATGATCTTAGTGCACTTTAGCAATTGGAAACTCATGATTTGGTACAATTAGTTTAAATACATTTATGTGTTTTAGAAGAGCATGGTTCCACTCCTCCAAAACAGAGAAAGATGGGTCAGCTCCCAACGTCACCATCAACGCCGTCGACTCTTTTTGACAAGTTAAATTTGATGTCGTCTCCTGAGAAGGAAGATAAATTAGCTCCTAAGAGATTGTTTGGAGCAGAAAAATATCGCAATGCTCGTAAAGCCTTGCATAGTTCAGTACCTGATAGTTTACCTGGTAGAGAAAGTGAATTAGAAAAACTGCACGAATTCATGGAGGAACATTTGAAAAACGAAACATCAGGCTCATTATATGTGTCAGGACCTCCTGGAACTGGGAAAACAGCATGCCTTTCTAAGCTTATGCAAAAGACTGAATTCAAGTCGAAATTGAAAGTCGTTTATATTAATTGCACAACTATGAAATCTGCTGCTACCATTTACGCAAAAATCATTCAAGAATTAGGGTTGAATGTGAAAAAATCTGCAAAGAGTAAAGCGGTTATAGAAAAATATTTGACGACGAATCACAAGATGTTACTGTTGATTCTAGATGAAATAGACCAATTAGAAAGTAAAAAACAATCTGTCTTATATTCTATTTTTGAATGGCCTTCGATAAATAATTCTAAATTGATATTAGTTGGCATTGCCAATGCCTTGGATTTGACGGATAGAATATTGCCTAGATTACAAGCTAGATGCGAACTGAAACCAAAGTTGATGCATTTCTCTCCGTATACGAAACAGCAAATTTGTAATATAATATCTGAAAGATTGAACGAAGCGAATGTGTCTGATCTGTTTACTGAACATGCGATGCAGATGTTGTCTGGTAAAGTTGCTGCTATTTCTGGTGATATAAGAAAAGCATTGGATATCAGTAGAAGAGTTATAGAACTTGCAGAATCTCACAAAGTGGCACAAGTTCTGCAGCCAACCAATGATAATGGTATGCGTCTTACGATTAGTATATAATAATTGTGAGAAACATGAAATTAATGAGAATTTAATGAAAAACGTGCATCTCTCGTCCTCAGAAACAAACACAGGTAGCCCTAAGAAACAACAGTCTCAAACGGTAAAGCCAGTAGATTTAAAGGAAGTCGTCACAGTTCTAAACGGCGTTTACGGCGGGTCCCAAAATATTCAAAAAGAAGAAAGTACATTCCCGTTACAACAAAAACTGCTTCTTTGCTCCCTCTTACTTATTTTAAATAAAGGACGAAACAAAGATGTGACAGTGGGAAGAGTTAGTACTTTCTATGATAAAAATGCATTTGTCGATTTCAGTTTCTATCATTGTAAAATAATGTTTTTCAGTTGCATGAAGTATACAAGAAGATCTGCAAGAAACGGAACATACACGCAGTTGACGGATCTGAATTTTATAGCTTATGTTCATTGATAGAAACAAGAGGTATCCTGAAATTGGCGAGAAAAAAGGAGCCACGTTTGTCGAAGATAAATTTGGAATGGGATCAAGAAGAGTTGGACGCAGCTTTACAAGATAGAAACATGATGGCAGAAATTATTAACGATGTGACTTGCTTATAGATATTTAAACATTTAAGAACTATTGAATTTTATACTGTTTTCTTTAATTGTTAAATTGGCATATTGTATTTTTCGATGTATTAACAGTACCTTTTAAAAAACTTACAATGATGTTCTCTTTAAATATTTGAAATACGTACGCATGCGCACATTCCTCTTTTATTGCCGCTACCTACACATGTAGATGACTCTTGCTGGAATGACATAGTAGTAGTGCAATTTGCTGCTGCTGCGAAAGGTGTCCGTTTCAAACTTTTCGATTATGTCTTCGGTACTTGTGCCTGAAATTCCTCCTCCAGGGTTTTCTTTCGATCTCTGTCAGAGGTAATTTATTAGTGATGAATTACGTTATCAAAAACACTTATCTTCTAGTAATTTGGATAATTATAAAAGTACAAAGTAACGTTTCATAGTCCATAACCTACTATACATTAATATTGCTGTGTCATTTTTCTCAATAACTTCTACGACTACAACTTAGATATAACAGTGTCCGAAAAATCGTTCACGTATAACTTTTTATTTAGAAACAATTTCCTGATAAAGAAAGGATTTCAAGCACCTAGGGCTGTTAAAACAGGAACAACAATTGTCGGGGTTGTTTATAAAGATGGAGTGGTTCTTGGTGCCGATACGAGAGCGACAGAAGATACAATTGTCGCAGACAAAAATTGCAGGAAGATACACTATCTCTCCGAATATATATAGTAAATATATTATTAAACAGATGATCGGACCATCGATAATCATCTGATTCAGTGAAGATAATTAGATAATTATTTTCTAGTTGTTGCGGTGCAGGGACTGCTGCTGACACAGAAATGACAACGCAGATGATATCCAGTCAATTGGAATTACATCGTTTAAATACTAACCGTTTGGTACCAGTATGTACAGCGAACGCTATGATCAAGCAATTACTCTTTCGTTATCAAGGCAACATTGGTGCAGCTTTAATATTGGGAGGTGTCGATTTGGACGGACCACATTTGTACTGCATTTATCCTCATGGATCTTCGGATAAACACATGTATACGACCATGGGATCTGGATCTTTAGCTGCAATGGCTGTATTCGAAACTGGATGGAAGCCTGATATGGAGGTAAGAATGTTTTGGTAGTTTACATATTTATTTGGTAGCATGCTCATACTCTGAACTTGTTTAAAAATAATTTTAGGAAGAGCAGGCTAAAGAGTTGGTGGCAGACGCTATTCGCGCTGGTATATTTAACGATTTGGGTTCTGGATCTAATGTAGATCTATGCGTAATACGCAAGGGTTCGGTCGATTATATCCGCTCTTACGATGTTGCGAACGTTAAAGGAGAGCGTAATATATCTTACCGATACAAACGTGGTACCACTGCTGTGCTTAATAAAACGGTACATCCTATAATCATTGAAGGAGAAACTGTACGTCGAATTGAGGTGGAAGCAATGGATACTTCGTCGTAAAATGCTTTTAATTGGATTTTGGATATATACATGTGAGTTCGTATTAAGTATAGAACCTTATCCGTAATAATAATTTGATTTACAAAGTTTTCTTCTTTTTTTCTGCCAATGACAAACTTAATTCTAAATAGTAAAGTATAAATAGTACGCCTTTATTTTTTTTTTACTTTCTGATTTTGCTATACCGTAATGATGATACAAAATTATGGTACAAAACTATGGTCAAAAAAAGTTTAAAAAAGACCGGCGGACTGTTTTAGTCTCTGTCTTTTCCAACCAGGCAACTTCACGAATTCGTCTGGTTCCATCTTAAAGATTGCAATGAAATTATCGAATGTTAAGTGCATCTCTTTGCGAACGACGTCAACGCCAGGCGGCATGTTTTCCGGATCACCTTTCAGAATAGAAAGGGGATATTTTACATACGTATCGAATTCGCTCGACGATTTCGATATCGTCTGTATCTTGGACAATGGTAGCGATTGCTTGTCTTGCAATAGATTGCAGAAGGTCTCAAACGGCTTGTGTTCTCTTAGCAAGTTGTAATTCCAGTTATCGAAGAGTCCGATAAAGGTCGAAGGTTCCATACCTTTGAACAACAGAAAAACTCGACTAGAATTTTATTTTATCGTAAGATCCTATATCAGTCGTACATAAATGGTGCTCGTATGTACCTTGATTAATTACTGAAATCGTTGTATTTCGATCTCGGCCAGCCGGATGCGTGTACAAAAATATCATTGCGTCGTGCACACATTCTTTCAATGATTTGGGCATGGAAAACTTTCCGATCCATATCCATATCACGTTCCCAGCGTCCAACAACCAAACACCTTCTGGTAAGAGACTACTTTGACCGTATCCTAGAACTTGTTCGCCAACGAACGCTTCGCCATCGGTCGAACATTGGTACAAATGCTTCTCGAGTTCTTCTCCATCGTTGTCAACAGTTTCCGTACCATAAGCGCCTTTACCTTAATGATAAAATCTTACATGTAAATAAATAAACGTGTGAGATCATTTTATTTATGTTACGTGAAGGTACGAAAAATTTATTCATCGAATTGCGAGGCAAAGAGTGAAAACTGAACCTCCAAGTTCTGTCCAAAAGTCATCGTCTTCGTTGTTTTCAATTATCAGACTCGCGTTTCTGGGCGCAAGACGTCTAGAGGCTTGTCTAACGTCCCCGGTACTTTTGCTACCGCACCAGACGACGGGTAGAGTAGCGAACAGAATGAAGACTCCGCTCGAATCCAGACTACTAGCTCTCAAAGGTCGTTCAACTGCTTTCGATGTATATGGAGTAGATCCAAAAACCCTGACGAGATACTTCTCGGGAGCTATACATACATGTATATATACAAGTTAAACGCATATACGCATGTAATAAAGCGTAGATACTTACGAGAATCGCGATGCCTTCCAGCTAATATTTTCAATTTTCCATCGTATATTTGCAACAGATGGGGCGGTTCTCTACCCTGGTACGCCTTTACTAACTGACCCGAACTGTCCTTTGCTAACTGACAAGCCGCGTCTAAGGAAGCTTCTCGATCCGCGTTCAAAGAATGAACTCCTTCCCAACAATAAATCTGCAATAGGTGATCAAGATATCAGTTTTAATCGAATCAGAAGTACATCGTTTACGTAAGAAGAGAAAGGAATCCGTGTCACATACAATTGTTCTAGCTCTACGTCCTTGCCCATATTTGTAACACATCACGTAACAGGCCTCCGCGTAGTATATTCCTTTATCTTGCAGCTGTATCATCCCTTCTTTATGAGTCACCTGCCAAAGTGTTTTCTCCCCGGATCCATCGTCTACTAATTGACACTCCGCAGCCATCTTTGGTCTTTCATTCATGTAATCAGGTTCGAAGGTCGGTGGTAGCGTGAATGGTCTGAGCTTATTGTTCGCTTCCCACCCTCTTACGAGCGTTTTCATCTCGATCGGTTCGTGAGATTCGATAGCTCTTTCCACCGGTACGCTGTTGCTGTAGTTCTTCTTCTTTACGAATCCGCGAGCATTGCGAATCGCTTCTAAATTTTCTCGAGCGTTCACGTGTCGCCCGACCCAGGCCCAGACACCCGCTTCACCGCGATCGATCAAATAAACGGACTCGGACGTGAGATCCGATCGTAGAATCGGCCCGGATTTTAATTCCGCCACCTTGTACTTGCCGTATTGCTCGCTGCATTTGTACAGTTTCACCGGGCTCGGTATAATGATTCGGTAAGGCCGGTCGGGTTTAACCATCCTTGTCAGAGGATCTAGAATACTGGCGAACAGTTGCCGGTCCCCTTCCGGTAACGTTTGCTCGTAACCATCCTCGACGATCACGATACGATCGTTTCTCGCTTCTAAAACGCTGACCGCGTGCCGCTTGTGCAGAGGATCCGCCGTGGATCCCAGCCAGAGGAAAACGACACCCCTAATTATAATAATACAAGTTTCAAATTAGAGAAATTTCTACTATACCTGCGAGAACTTGAACACGTTTTTACGTACTCGAAAAGAACATCCACGAGGATAACGTCCCGTGAACTAAAATGATCCCAATCGACTTTCTCGAGTTCCGTCTGGATGGGAACGGTCACTCCAGTTATTCTGTGTAATTTGCACGACGGCGTTTCTAAGTGAAAATTCTCGATGATCAAATTCTGGCGGAAGTAAGCCAGGAATCTGGGACTTTCTCTTCCTTGAGCTTCCCTCGACAAAATCGTCGCGGTTACTTGGGAGTCCAGCTCGGCCGCTCGGAGAGCCGCTGCTCCGGAAATAGTGGAGTCGCAAGCGGATCCGATCCAAAAGTGAATCACGCGAACTACTGCGTTTGGCTTCAGTTCCTTCACCTGTTTCAATTAAGCGAAAATTAAAGAATAATTTTTAGCTCTCCGGCTTGTAATTAAGGATTATGACTCTTGAAAATGACGATGTATGTAGTTGCTATAATGAAAGAAATGTGATACCGGCATCCCGGGGTAAGGGAGAGGGCCGTCTTTCGGTGACACCGCATAGACGATGTACGCCAACTCTGAGAGGAAACGTCCCATATTACTTCCGGTGACAGCCGTGACACGTAAACCCTGTCGCGTTAAAAGCTAATTTAGTATTTCACACTTTCACTCTTCGTTTCTTTAACTTAATCTCTCGTCACAAACGCTTTCTTGCGATTGCGGAACATAAGACTTGTATTATACATTACATCACCGAGTGTATTAGTGAGCAAAACGGAACGGAATTATTTCTACTTTTTTTTCGTAAGTTCATCTACCTACCTCGATCTTCCAAATGCGAAACGTGCTGCTGTTCTTCGGCACATTCTTAAAAACTTCGCCGTTCGAATCATCGGAACGGCAGCTTCTGTCGTCCTGCGGCATACGTAGAAATAAAGTTTTTTAAACATTTCCTTGATCATAAGTACGTTTACGCGGATGCTCATAAAAGTTGAGCAATGAAATTTATCGATGTTTAACAGCTTAATGAGAACAATTTTGATAACGATACACGTAACATGGAACAAAAGTAGGAAATAAGCGATAGCTGGAAAGACCGAACAATAAAATTTCGATAACTTCCACGATAAGAAGCTTTCGGCTTCTCTTAACACGGATTTAATGGTATGCATGTATGACGTATGGAATCTTTTCTGCTTCATTTTTCCGGAAGATGAGCCGACCTGGATTACCGTTATCCGTTATCCGTTATGATAACACTCGGACGTTATTATCCTCGCGCTTTCTCTTACTAATTACGAACAATGAGAAATCGTATATGCGATCTGTATTGTATTACACACCGATTCTTCGACCTTTCCCGATAGCTCCGATGCCATTTGCCGGTACCAGTCTCTCGATCTCGGATCACGTTTTTATTCTTCGCGCCTTCGATACCTCGTCGATCGCTTCCGCGTTTCAAATCCTCTATAAGCACTCGCGCTTATCGTCGGCACACCTGCCAGATCTTGTCTGATCGAATCGAAACCCGGCGCGAATCACGGCGGAGCGGTGCAAGCGTGCGAGCATGAAATTTCGCAACGGAGAAACGCGATCGGTGCTCGCATCAGCTCCCACCGAACGGTTGTTCGTACTGTCGGCAGTAAACTAGGGTACGAGAGCTCACCTCACGCGAGCGCGAGAGCGAGGTCCTCCTCCGAAGGACTCGATCGCGTCACGGTGATCCACGATCGAACGTATACGCAGCCACATGCAACTGCGTTTATACGTGTACTCGCACATCCGCAATCGATGGAGTATGTATAATAAAATAATACAATTCCTATGCATGGAATTATCGAAGAAACGTCAATTGTAACTTCCCTTACGGAGGATATTGCGGTTTTGATCAGGATCCCTTAGCTGATTACAATTGATACGGTTTCAAAGGATAATCCCGTTACTTGACTGAGTAAAACGAAACTGAGGAAAATTGGGAAATCTGGTAACGGTGGATGACCGTGCAATTTACGATGCACTCCTGCCCACGCTCGCCAGCCGCATCAACGCACGCTCACGCGTATGGTGCACGCGTTTATATTCGTATGTACACGGTGCACGTGTTATTTGATTGTGCATGTTCTCCGAGACGATCGTTTGCGGCAGGAAGTGGTGACTGCATTTGCCGTTGCCGTTACCGCGTGGCCACGCACGACGTACGCCCACCGACACCGATCGGTGCACTGTACCACCGATCAGTGATTGCGAGTATACGCACTGAACCAGCCGGAAATGTGCAGTATTCCAAGTTTCATGACAATTGGTTTAAGTCAAGAAAGAACGCAAACCCAGTTCTTTTCTGTAGATCCTACGAAAATACGTTTAGAGTCAGAATTAAAAACTCGAGCGATGTATCGCGTGCTACATCGTTTGGCAGTAGCTAACATAAAAGTTGTAATTACGAAACATCGCCTTGGAGAATGAATCACGTTCGTTAGCAAAGAGTGAACCAGCGGAGAATAAACGATTAATTACTTTAATACTGCATACCGTCGAAGTTCCGTACATGCATAGGTACTTACTTTAACTACCTATTACGTACATACATTGGTATCGCTCCGATTTTTTTTATCTCTTTCATACCGTGAAATTATTTGCACACGCTTATGCCTATTATATTTTTCTGCGAACTCACCCGTCTGGAGAAATCCATCGTTCTTGTTTCCTCGTTTTCTCGTCAGATCATTTATAAAAAAAAAAAGGATACGCACGCGGGTAAGTATGTACCGTAAGAACGATTTCGCGGCGCGCGATACGCGCGAAGGAGCAGGAAGGCGTCTGCGAGAAGCGCGAAATAGGTAGTGTCTATCGTCTAAGTACCTCTAACCGTAGGTATACGCGAATGAAACGCAGGACTGATACTACGCGTTCCTGACTTAAAAAAGAAACCGTACCGATGCGGACTCGTCCGGAAGTTAGCCCGGAACCCTGGCCGCCACGCCGGGCTGTCAGCCACCCGTGACCAACGACTATGCGTATTATACATGCACGCATTGAATTATGTACCTACAACACATAAACGTGATGAATGAATACGTTTTCAACCATGCGGGTACGCATCCCGCTTGAACGCACCTTTCCGATTCGTCTGTGTCATCATCTCTCTACGTTTTTAACGTCGTCCTGCGTCGTCTGTTCTCGTCCCGTATTTCCTGCGTGTTCCCAGTACCTAACATATTCCTCCTTTTTCCTTTTACTCGGTCGTCTTCGCAAGATATGACGGAAACGACGTAATGATTATTATCTCTCCTGCCTGCTACTTATCCCTGTATATCCATCATCTTCTCGGAGGAAAATTAAGACCGTGACGGAGGAATGCGCGAGTGCTACGCTTCTTATGCACGGTGTATGGTGTATATATACATGTTATTTATCATGAGGAATCTGAGAAGATGTTTCCTCTGTTTGAAATTAAGAAAACGTCGCTTCGATTCTATTACCTGTTGCTCTTCTGTTCATATGATTAATAAGTATTTAGATATTATTTGGTTTATAAGATCAATAAAGGTATTACTAAATAATTAAATATTAACGATACGTAATAGCAATAGAGTCTATCTATAATCGTCTTCTAAAATTTTAATCAGATTTATTTAATATTTTTGGCTATTGTATATACATTGTGTAAATGATTAATATATTAGGAACTAGTGGAACAGGACAATAGTAGGAACATAAGTATTAATTACAAGTACTCGAAAAGTTTCGGAAGTCACCTGCATTACCAAAGGGACCAACCGCAATGTCTTTTATTCTTCTTTTTTCCATATGGAAGGAGTGGGTGGTACACCACGTGCATTATACAGAACATCCCTGTCACTTTGCCGAAGTGAAGCCTGGTTCACATGACAGCTATATTTAAATTAAAGGTAGATTCCAACAATGCCAATGATCGAGGTTATAGTTATGTCAGGTTAGGGTTAGACGGCGGTTAGTCTGCGCCGCCTGCGGTCTGCGCTGATCTGCGCTTGTGATTTTACGTCGTGTTTAAAAAATTTGCTTGTTTATTTTTGAAACGTTGTACATACGTTTGTAAAATTGTCATAAATAAGTATAAAACATGTACTCCTTGGAGGACGATCAATATGAAGACGAAGATGCGGAGGAAATTTCGTCGAAGCTTTGGCAGGAGGCTTGCTGGATTGTTATTAATGCTTACTTCGACGAAAAAGGTCTTGTAAGACAGCAACTTGACAGCTTCGATGAATTCATTGAAATGTCGGTTCAGAGAATTGTAGAAGACTCGCCGCAAATCGATTTACAAGCAGAGGCACAACATACCTCTGGGGAAATAGAAAATCCTGTCAGGCATCTGTTGAAGTTTGAACAAATCTATTTATCCAAGCCTACCCATTGGGAAAAGGACGGAGCACCTTCTCCTATGATGCCTAACGAAGCGAGACTTAGAAATTTAACGTACTCAGCACCACTGTACGTAGACATCACTAAGACAATTGTGAAAGATGGGGAAGACCCAATTGAGACGCAACATCAAAAAACGTTCATAGGAAAAATACCGATTATGTTAAGATCAAAGTATTGTCTACTTGCTGGTCTGTCTGATCGTGATTTAACTGAATTGAATGAGTGTCCGCTCGATCCTGGCGGTTACTTCATCATTAATGGCTCAGAAAAAGTACTTATTGCACAAGAGAAGATGGCAACGAATACAGTTTATGTTTTCAGTATGAAAGACGGTAAGTACGCGTACAAATCGGAAATCAGATCTTGTTTGGAACATAGTTCAAGACCCACGTCCACGTTATGGATTAACATGATGGCAAAAAGTGGAGCCAGTATTAAAAAGTCTGCCATAGGTCAGCGTATAATTGCAATCATTCCATACATAAAACAGGAGATTCCTATTATGATTGTATTTCGAGCACTTGGATTTGTCGCTGATCGAGATATTTTGGAGCACATCATATATGATTTTGATGACCCTGAAATGATGGAAATGGTGAAGCCTTCTTTGGACGAAGCGTTTGTGATACAAGAGCAAAATGTTGCTCTGAATTTCATCGGTACCAGGGGCGCGAGACCCGGTGTGACTAAAGAAAAACGTATTAAGTATGCTCGAGAAATTCTACAGAAGGAAATGCTCCCACACGTAGGCATAAGCGACTTCTGTGAAACTAAGAAAGCTTATTTCCTTGGCTACATGGTGCACCGATTGCTGTCAGCCTCCTTAGGTAGAAGGGAACTCGACGATCGAGATCATTACGGTAATAAACGATTGGATCTAGCCGGACCGTTATTAGCATTCCTATTTAGAGGACTGTTCAAAAATTTGATGAAAGAAGTCAGGCTGTACGCTCAGAAATTCATAGACAGGGGCAAAGATTTCAATCTCGAGCTTGCTATTAAAACGAAGATAATTACCGATGGTTTGAGATACTCGCTCGCCACGGGTAATTGGGGCGATCAAAAGAAGGCTCACCAAGCTAGAGCCGGTGTCTCGCAAGTGTTAAACAGGCTAACATTTGCCTCGACGCTTTCACATTTACGAAGAGTGAACTCCCCGATTGGAAGAGACGGGAAATTGGCGAAACCTCGTCAATTACACAACACGTTATGGGGAATGTTGTGTCCCGCCGAAACACCCGAAGGCGCAGCTGTAGGACTGGTCAAGAATTTGGCATTGATGGCTTACATCAGCGTCGGATCTCAACCGTCTCCGATTCTCGAATTCTTGGAGGAATGGTCGATGGAGAACTTAGAGGAAATCGCGCCAAGCGCCATAGCCGATGCTACGAAAATATTCGTAAACGGCTGCTGGGTCGGTATTCACAGGGATCCGGATCAATTGATGGCTACTTTACGTAAACTGAGAAGACAAATGGACATCATCGTATCGGAAGTATCTATGATAAGAGATATCAGAGATCGTGAAATCAGGATATACACTGATGCAGGAAGAATCAGTAGGCCTTTGTTAATCGTCGAAAACCAGACGTTATTATTGAAGAAAAGACACATCGACATGTTGAAAGAAAGAGATTACAATAACGACGGATGGCAGGAATTAGTTGGTAGCGGAGTCGTGGAATACATTGACACCTTGGAAGAAGAAACAGTCATGATCGCGATGTCACCCGAAGACTTGAGGCAAGAGAAAGAATACGCTTATTGTACGACGTACACGCACTGCGAGATTCATCCAGCTATGATCTTAGGCGTGTGTGCCTCCATTATACCATTTCCAGATCACAATCAAAGTCCAAGAAATACTTATCAAAGCGCTATGGGCAAACAAGCCATGGGTGTCTACATTACGAACTTTCACGTTCGGATGGACACTTTGGCGCACGTACTGTATTATCCCCACAAACCTCTGGTGACCACAAGATCTATGGAATATCTTAGATTCCGTGAATTACCAGCTGGAATCAACAGTATAGTCGCTATATTATGTTATACTGGCTACAACCAGGAAGACAGCGTTATCCTGAATGCCAGCGCCGTTGAACGAGGTTTCTTCAGATCCGTGTTCTACAGATCTTATAAAGACTCGGAATCGAAGAGGATCGGAGATCAAGAAGAACAGTTCGAGAAACCTACGCGACAGACTTGTCAAGGAATGCGCAACGCCATTTACGATAAACTGGACGATGATGGGATCATTGCTCCTGGAATTCGTGTATCCGGAGACGACGTTGTCATAGGTAAAACTATTACTCTACCAGAAGCGGACGACGAATTGGACAGTACGACGAAACGTTTTACGAAGAGAGACGCGTCGACCTTTTTACGGAACAGCGAAACTGGCATCGTCGATCAGGTGATGCTGACTTTGAACAGCGAAGGGTACAAGTTTTGTAAAATTCGAGTGCGCAGCGTTCGTATACCGCAGATCGGTGACAAATTCGCTTCGCGGCACGGGCAAAAGGGTACGTGCGGTATACAATACAGGCAAGAGGACATGCCGTTCTCGTGCGAGGGTCTCACGCCAGACATAATCATCAATCCCCACGCTATTCCGTCTCGTATGACCATCGGTCACTTGATCGAGTGTATACAAGGGAAGGTGTCCGCGAATAAAGGTGAGATCGGTGACGCTACTCCGTTTAACGACGCCGTGAACGTACAAAAGATCTCCACGCTCCTTCAAGAATATGGATATCAATTGAGAGGGAACGAAGTTATGTATAATGGTCACACCGGTCGCAAAATAAACGCTCAAGTATTTTTGGGGCCAACTTATTATCAGCGGCTGAAGCATATGGTGGATGATAAGATACACAGCAGAGCTAGGGGACCGGTACAAATTTTAGTAAGGCAACCGATGGAGGGAAGGGCGAGAGACGGAGGTTTGCGTTTCGGTGAAATGGAACGGGATTGCCAAATTTCTCACGGGGCCGCGCAATTTTTAAGGGAACGCTTGTTCGAAGTCTCCGATCCGTATAGAATACACATATGTAACTTCTGTGGTTTAATTGCAATAGCGAACTTAAGAAATAACACGTTCGAGTGTAAAGGATGCAAGAACAAAACGCAGATATCTCAAATTCGATTACCGTACGCGGCGAAATTACTTTTCCAAGAGCTTATGGCCATGAATATTGCCCCCCGATTAATGGTAGCATAAGTAATATAGTTCGGACAGAGTATTTGCATTGTTTTTTATGTCAATTGTAAGTTCTATGAACCGTGTAATAATTGCTTTAAGTGAACATCGTTTTCAAATCAGATGAATAAAAGTATTGAAAATGTATTGTATTATAACCTTATTTATTATACTTCTCGTGAATATAATTTATTAAAATTATGAGATACATATTAAACATGGCTAATATTGCCCGCCTGTTGCCGTTGTATGAATATGCTGCGTTTCTAACTCGTTTCAGATAACTATCATAAATTTTTTATCAACAGTTATTGAATATCGTGTCATGCGATCGATCATAGTTTGATTATATCTTCCACGTGATATGTTTCCCTGTTTTCCTGTGTTTTCCACCCTAATGTGTCCTAGGAACATCCTGTTGATAGACAAATTTTCTTTCGTTGACTCTTTGAAAGATCCCGTTCGGATCACGTAATTGTCACCGAAAGAAAAATCGAACAGACACAAAGGAAGGATAGAAAAGGATAGAAAACTACTGCTACTGCTACGAGCATTTGAGCATAAGCAACAGTGATACTTGATACATATGTAAAGGAAAGATATCTGTCGCGATATCTCGTGTTAGTTTAAGGTTAACCAATGACACACGCTACGAGCACGAGCCAGTATCTACTCTGGCATTCCCCATCCCGTTCGCTCGTATTACGATTTACGATTACGTTACGGCCTTCTTCCATTCAGTTGGATGTCGCTTGCCATCGAACGACAACGTACGCATCGTCGAGGAATCGTGGAGTAATGGGAAATTTTCGCGTTCCGAGAACTAGACACGTACATTCTGTTTGATCGTAAGTGACAGGAAACAAAATTATGATCGAACACATCTACGTTTCATCAAGCATCATCTCCTGCTGTTTTTTCGTCTCGATTTCACTGTCATATTCGGTTCTGACACGGGAAATTGATTCAATGACATACAGTCTAAACTGTCGGATCGAGTTTCATTTGATCAATCTGTGAATCGTATTGTTACCGTTGAAAAATTCTGATAGATCGTACAGCGAGATACGATCAACACGCGCGCATTTATACATTACGTAAATTTAATACACGTTTGCCGAGTGAATTTTTCACCGGTTGGATTTCTCAGAATCAGACCTCGAGACAGAACACGTGCGGATTATACAAGTGTAAAGTCCAATACGTAGGATAGCTAGTTCAATTAGTCACTATTAGAGATCCTTAAATGTCACTTAAACGTTCATTGGCTTCACGCTTTGTTCTTTCGTTCCATCGATGTACCAGTACATACATTCGCAGAAAGTTTTCAATTATTTTTGCTAGAAGCATATAGATTTAAGAGCAAGCACGATCTGCTGATTATGTGAGAGAAAGGTATCTGATAATATCATTGATATTTTTGGAATATCTACTCATTGTATTGTTAAATATACTTTTGTGAACTGATTGATTGTTTTTATTATCAGTATAAATACGTCTATTCTATTTCAATCATCACTTATCAATTCCAAGTAGCAAAACTGTGTTAATTGGTACTGTGATTGATAATTGTATAATGAAGTTGATTAATAGTTTTAATATCTTACCTGAAGATAATTAATAGTTTTTAAATATCTTACCTTTCCGTCGATGTGTTAAGAATTTTTCATTTAGCTTATCACATGTATGTATTTGTAAGAAATTAATAAATACATGTCAGACTAGAGTTGCTCTTCTTTCACTTCTGCAGATATATATTAGAATGTGTGAATATGATAAGGAAAGGAGGAAAAGACATCTCTATTTATTGATAATTTTTTAGGGAATACTAGTTAATGAATTAAAAGCCATAATGGACGGGAAAATAAAAGCAGAAAGGAAAAAGAATCCTAGGGAAGGAGCAAATCCTCTTAAGATTCTAACATTTACGTAAGTTTTAAAGAGGTCTCATTATTTTAGAATGACTTCAGTCATTTTTTCCATGTCATTTCGTATTAATAAAATGATAAAACCGAGCTGATAAGCAGAGAATGTCTTCTTAAAAGTAGTCCAGTATCAGATACTGAAAAGTCTTGTGTAAACACAATAAAAATGTATATTGAATTTTGTTTTGTGAAGCAGATAAATGAGCATTGCAATCTGTTTATTGTTATCTGTTCTTACTATTTCTCTATAGATCGTTTTACAGAAACTTTTATGTTATCTTTAATCAATTGTGCTTATTGTTGTTTCGTATAAAACAGAGATAAAACTTCTATATTGGAAATATTTGGCTTAGTCATTAATATTAGAGATAGAGGAAAATATAATCACAGATAAAAAAATTGCTGAGTCGCGAATCTCTCAAATCATGGGAAAATAATTGATCATTATTCGTAGGTTTACGCTACCAACATTTTGGCTGGGCTATCGTCGAGATTTAGAGATATCCGATTTGTATAAACCTCTCAAAGAGCACACGAGCAATCACTTAGGCGCAAAGATATCGAAAGTATGGCAAAAAGAATATGATGCTTACGTGAAAGAGAAACGACTGATCGAGGAGAAAGAGGATCACGAGAAGTATCACGGAAAAACAAGATTGAAGGAACCCAGTTTATCAAAGACCTTGATTAAATGCTTTGGTCCACAGATAATGTTATATGGAATAATTTTGGCAGTTTTGGAAATTACTCTTAGGTATATCTTATAATTTTTTCTTATAGACACTATAGACAGACATCCGAACAATTTGATGCATTGGATCACAATTGTTTTATTACTTGTTCAGATTATCACAGCCCATATTTCTTGGCCTTTTGATTCGTTACTACAGTCGAACGATAGCCGAACCCATACCGTTACATACAGCAATGACCAGAATAGATAATTCTTCTGATTCTCAAGTTCATGAAATTGAAGATGCGATCAAACCGTTAAGTCATTTATAGAGCCATTGTATTTTGTTATCTTATCTGTATCTGGCATGTAGACTAGTTTCGGTGTTTATGAACTGTCGTATTTCCCCATGTTCAAGTAGATTTATACTTATCTGTAGAAAGTTGAGATTTTGTTGCAACTAACAGTTTGTAAAGACTAGTAGTGCGATCGGTCGATGGATCAGTTTACCTCCATGTTAATTTTTCTCATTTCACGTTTAGGGTACTGCAACCGATATGTCTCGGGAACCTTTTACAATATTATAGTACCGACGATGTCACGAAGGACGAAGCCTATTTGTATGCGGGCGGGGTAATATTATGTTCAGCGTTGTTGCTATTCGTTATACATCCGTACATGATGGGGATATTACACATTGGAATGAAAATGAGGATCGCTTGTTGCACGCTGATCTACAGAAAAGCGTTAAAACTTTCGAGAACAGCTCTGGGGGAAACGACGATAGGACAAGCCGTGAATCTATTGTCGAACGATGTTAACAGATTTGATGTAGCTCTGATACATCTAAATTATCTGTGGATCGGGCCGCTCGAAACTATTATCATAACGTACTTCATGTATCAGCAAGTCGAGGTATCCGCTTTGTTCGGAGTTGCAATATTGCTGTTGTTCATTCCTTTGCAAGGTAATAGAAGAAAATGTACCATCGATTTGACACTTGTTGCTTTTTGGACCGTAACGCACGTGCGATATTTTTTTATTTCATATTACCGTCTCCTCTTTTTTTTCTCTTTTTTCAATCGTGTAGGGTATTTGGGTAAAAAATCCTCAATATACAGGTTGAAAACGGCGCTTAGAACGGACGAGAGGGTTCGGTTGACCAATGAAATTATCACCGGTATCCAGGCGATCAAAATGTACTGCTGGGAGAAACTGTTCAGTGATCTGATTCAGCGAGCAAGAAAGTATTTATACTTTTCACAGTACTTCAACTGACCTAACGTTAACAGACGCATTTATGTACACGAGACGTTCTCGTATCATTGCAGGAGAGAAATCACCGTTATACAAAACATGTCTATGATCAGAGGTATCACCATATCCTTCATCATGTTCACCACGAGGATGTCCCTTTTCGTCACGATATTAGCGTATATATTTTATAATCATGAGAAGATAACTGCCACTAAAGTGTTCATGTTGCAAGCGTATTACAACATACTACGACAAACTATGACAGTGTTTTTCCCGCAAGGCAAGTAAACACCTTCCCGTGTGCTGCTACCACCAAGGATAAAATCTAATGAAAAGATCTATACCGTAGGAATAACTCAAATGGCTGAATTATTGGTTTCCGTGAAACGTTTACAAAGGTTCATGATGTACGAGGAAATCGACATAAGGAACACTGACGAGAAAGGTTCGCAAAACAAGGAAACTAAACAAAATGACGCGAACAACGTGGAGAAGGATATGAATAATACGAGTCATGGAAAACGCGAAATGACTAACAATTACCAAGGAGATTATGTTATAAACTTGAAAAACTCAAGTGCTAAATGGTTATCGTACGAGCAGGAGGACACGTTGAAAAATATTGATTTCACACTAAAGCCAGGCGAATTGGTTGCCGTCGTTGGCCAAGTCGGCTGCGGTAAAAGCAGTTTCCTGAATCTGATATTGAAGGAATTGCCGACGGCCACGGGCTCCATAGAGGTTCGCATCGTTCGTCGGTTTGATCGTAGTTTGCATAATCGTGAGATTAATATCTTGTTTCGCAGATAAATGGGAAAATCGCGTACGCTGGTCAGGAACCGTGGCTGTTCGCCGGTTCCGTACGACAAAACATTCTTTTTGGTCGACCGATGGATCAGTTCCGATACGATCGTGTAGTGAAGGCGTGTCAGCTGAAACGAGACTTTACTCTGTTGCCGTATGGCGATAAAACTATTGTAGGGGAAAGAGGTATCAGTTTATCAGGTGGACAGAGGGCGAGGTCAGTGAGGATGATATGCATAATATTCGCGATAAGTAATATGGTAATAATTCATTGATTTGTTCGTGCAGAATTAATTTAGCTAGAGCAGTTTATGCAGAAGCCGATACATATTTGTTGGACGACCCGTTGAGCGCGGTCGACGCTCACGTGGGCAAGCATATGTTCGAAGAATGTATCATCAAGTACTTGAAAGGAAAGGCTAGAATTATCGTTACTCATCAGTTGCAACACTTGCGAAACGTCGATAGGATACTCGTATTGAAAGATGGACATATCCATGCGGAAGGGTACGTCTTCTAATTACTTGAATTCATCACTGGTTGTTCATGTCACGTGTCACTTATTTCAGTTCTTATGACGAGCTCTCTCGTATGGGAATTGATTTTGGAAGATTGCTCGAGAATCCAGAAGAAGAAGAAGGGCGAGCAGCAGGATCCAGCCCCCCTAGCAGGAGTAATTCTCGAAATGCTAGCATCTCGTCCTTGAGTTCATTAAAGAGCACTAGTACCGAGAAAGATGATCCGCTGGAGGTACGTACATCATCACGATACAATGAAGGATTAGAAAATTATACGACAGCGCTCGTTAATTATTTGCAGGTAGCCGAGTCGCGAACAAAGGGAAAAGTCTCTGGCAAAGTGTACGCAGGATATTTTTCCGCGGGCGGAAATTGCTGCGTTTTATTCGTAGTCCTGATGTTATTGATAGTGTCGCAAACGCTTGCGAGCGGTAGCGATTTCTTTATCTCGCAGTGGGTCAATATGGAAGAGAAATACGTAATTATCATTTCTGTCGTTTCTGTTTGCCATTTTTTCTTTCTTTCACGAATGATTTTAACAAGTGCACATAGTTTAAGGTGACCGGGGCGGATGATGTCACCGAGGAAGACTGGGGAGCTCCGATAAGCCGTGAGGCATGTATATACATATACAGCGCACTGATCGCTTCCACCGTGGTAATCACATTGATTCGTTCTGCCGCCGTCTTCGTAACTTCCATGAGAGCGTCGAAGAGATTGCACGATCGCATGTTCCGATCCATAAGTCGGGCAACGATGCTGTTTTTCAACACGAACGTGTCGGGTCGGATTCTAAACAGATTCTCGAAGGACATGGGCGCTATCGACGAACTGTTACCGATGGCTTTGATCGATACCTTGCAAATCGGTTTGTCCCTCCTCGCAATCATAACCGTCGTCGCCATAGCCAACTATTGGCTACTGATACCCACCGTGGTCATCGGACTGATCTTTTACTACATTCGCGTGTTCTATTTGGCAACGAGTCGCAGTGTGAAACGACTCGAAGGAGTCAGTGAGTATTCGCATTTAGCATGATTACTGTCTCCCCTCTGTGGAGCGCTTTTACCGGACAGATTTGCTTTTCCTCCCCTGCTTTCCATCTGTTCATGTCTAAGAAAGGAGCTTCTCGTCGATCGAGTTAACTAAGAGACTTATACTGTCGTGACATGCAGCTCGATCGCCGGTGTTCACGCATCTCAGCGCGACTCTACAAGGATTGTCCACTATTCGAGCCTTCGAAGCGGAAGAGATTCTGGCGAAGGAATTTGATGCACACCAAGATTTACATTCTTCGGCGTGGTATATATTTATATCATCGTCAAGGGCGTTTGGGTTTTGGCTGGACTTTTTCTGCGTTGTCTATATCTGCTTGGTCACTTTGAGCTTCCTACTTATAAACGACCAAACCACTGGCGGTAATGTGGGTCTAGCCATAACGCAGAGCATCGGATTGACGGGGATGTTCCAGTGGGGTATGCGACAGAGTACCGAGCTGGAGAACCAAATGACCTCTGTGGAGCGTGTCCTCGAATATACGTGAGTGACTGGAACCTACTCTTGTCCGTTAGCTTGGCTCACTTTTCCGTTTTCTTTTACAGCAACGTGGAAAGCGAGCCACCGCTCGAAAGTGCGCCAGATAAGAAGCCGAAGGAGACTTGGCCTGAGGAGAGCAAGATCGAGTTCAAGAACATGTATCTCAGATACAATCCAGCCGAGGCACCGGTACTTAAGAATCTGAACTTCGTGATCTATCCTCAAGAGAAGATCGGAATAGTGGGAAGAACGGGTGCCGGCAAGTCGTCTTTGATCGCGGCACTCTTCCGTCTCGCGAACATCGAGGGTACCATCACGATCGACGGAGTCAACACTCTCGAGATCGGTCTCCACGATCTCCGTTCCAAGATCAGCATAATCCCTCAGGAACCTTTCCTGTTTTCCGGCTCGTTGAGAAAGAATTTAGATCCCTTCGACCAGTATGAGAGCGACTCCGTTCTGTGGCAGGCGTTGGAAGAGGTCGAGCTGAAGGAAATGGGACTCGAGGGGCACATTAACGAGGGCGGATCCAATTTGAGCGTCGGCCAACGTCAGCTGGTCTGTCTGGCTCGAGCGATCGTTAAGAATAATCCTATCCTGGTTCTTGACGAGGCTACGGCGAACGTGGATCCGCAGACCGACGGGTTGATACAAAAGACGATTCGCACGAAATTTGCTAATTGCACGGTACTCACTATCGCGCATCGTCTCAATACTGTAATGGACAGTGATCGAATATTGGTGATGGATGCCGGTAGCGTCGTGGTAAGTGTTAAATCGGTCATTCGACTTCTCTCATAAATGATACAGATTTAGCAAGATGTGTTTTCATAGGAATTCGATGCACCCTACTTGCTGATCCAAAAGAATGGTTACTTGAACAGCATGATAAAGGAAACCGGGCCGGCGATGGCGGACGCTCTGAAGGAGGTCGCCCGCGTAAGCTACAAGAATCGCACGTCTACTGCCCTTTGATCATTTTTTCTGATGCATTTTATAGTTCTAATCTTTACACGACCGCCAGTGTTAAGTTTATCGGTGCGTACGTACTTCGTTCATTGGTCATCGAATTTCACGGATATGCAGTATTAACCACATGGATTATTTTTTCGTAAAACAAAAGATCGACATCGATTCATTACGGCGAACGTTGCTGTCTTGTATGTGCAAGTTTCGCGATACCCATGATAGTACTTAAACACAATTTTTTAAAACTATTTTTACGTACGAGCCGTTGGAAATTAGAGATATCAACGTATTACCTCGTTGTCGTGATCGTCGACTTACGTTAGTGTATCGGTGCTATGAGTACAAAGATGGTTCAGTTTAAAGATATACATACGTAGGTGCTTAAATCATTTTTGTAAGTACGTATCTACGTGTAACGCTTCGATGCAGACGTTTCATGTTCTCGTCACAAAAATGAAGACGTAATTTTGATCATTACATTTTGTACATAAATATTTTTGTAGGATATTTCAAGTTTTCGTCGAAATACTTATCAGATATGTGACATAATAGTAAAAGCGAAGGAGGGCAGTGTCACTGACGCAAACGATCATTTTGCCAGTTTATACTTGTGTCAGAGGAGTGTAATTTTTCTATACACAAATATTCACCTTTCATTACTTTCATGTATTACTTAATTATACTTTATTGTACAATAAAACGTATTGTACTCTTAGGAAAGAAACGGTCTTATATGTACAAGTGCCTATATGTAATTTAATTATATTACAAATGAGAGAAATAAACGCAGACAACTATTTATCCTGCCAACGTGCTGCCTCGTTTTATCACGTTTCCTTTCTTCCGAAAAATATAATCTACGCGGCGATTAAGATGAAAATAAAATAAATTTTTCGAAATATAAGTATTCTCGTTTATTATCGGATCATCGAACAAAAATTTCCGCCTCACCTCTGAAAGAGAAACAGACCTAATTTTTGGTAAACTATAGAACTTTCGTCAATTCTTTTATCCGATATATCTGAACTTCGAAACAGAAAACAGTTTCCCTTTCGCTCCGTCAAGGGATAATCTTAAAAAGTGTTCACGCGTCCATCGCAACACTGAGACGTATAAAAAGAGAGAGAGAGAAGAACGCGATGGATGAATAACGGCTAAACAAAACAAGCATACCCTCCTAATGTCTAGAACTCTGCTTACTTGACTCGCCAAAAATTGCCCGAACGTGACGCCGTATTCGAGCGTCGAGGCACATTCTCGCGAGACAAGTACACGCTAGTGTATCGTAATACTGACAGTAAAGAGATTATTATGACGTTTAAAATTAAGCTCACAATACGCGGTACCTGTGTCTCTCCGTGTGTAATATTAAAAAGTACAATCAAGCGAACTGGGAATCACAGCGGTGGAAGCTAATCCGCACTATTATCAAACGATTCGAACGTTTTAAAAGAGAAACAAACAAAACACAGAGTACGATGTTAATGAGACTGATGAACAGTTTCAAGGATTCTCATCCTCACTGCTATGATTCCCAGACCGTCATAACACGCGGTAGCGAAAATATCCGGATACTCGTTATAGAAAACCCTAAAAAAATTTGTATAATACACAGAATATGTATAGTCATAAAAGTTTTCTACGGTAAGTGTACGAATACTTCTTTCCACGACCTATCGAATATACGTATTTGTAATATGCATCTGTATAGGATATATGTAGTATCGTACAGTTACGGATGATCGTTACGCTGTCTCGTTCGAATTACAGGATTTTCGATTTACGTTACGTTCGCAGATACATTTTTCTAAGATCCTCGCGATCGTTCGACGAACGTTGAGTGATATAATGTAATGCTCAAAGAATGGTATAAAGAAACAGGTATATGAATATAATATGTGTACATGCTCTCCACTCCGTTTCACGTGTATGTACAAAACAGTATAAAATGCTGACGATGTCTTAACGTTACGTGTATTGCAGAAGGTTCGCGCCTAGAAAAGTGTGCCCGGAAACGTAGACGCGGTTTTATACATACATCAACACGACTCTCCTCGCTTTTGTTTGAACGGTACATACATATAAATAATACGACCTACGGTTACGATAATAAATAAGAACAATGGAGCACTGATCTATCCAATATATACAAACAGAGAAGGAAAGAGAGAAGTCTTCACTGTTATCGATTACGTATTATAATACGCGAGCAACGAGATTTGCTTTCCTTACCTCCGCCTCTTTCGCTTCTTTTATTCTCGTTTCCATCGTTATCCTTCGTGTGCCCGCGTGAGAAGGAAGACTGACAGCGTCGTCCTCTTACATCGAATTTCGCATGACCACGAATCGTGCTAGTTAAAACCGAGTAGAACATGAAGCGCGACGAAAAAAGTTACTCCACGCGCGTTCAGCGATGGCTTCGGTCGACCGGTATAACACTTGGCCAACTTTTCTTCATTACAGTCAATTTGATACGTCTTTAAACGTAAAAGGAATATTGCTCCGGTCGGATCAAAAGTTGAATTACTACCAAGGAACGTTTAAAAGTAATATTCTGGTTTAAAAAAAGATAACTATGTGCCGAAGAAATTCGATGAGGAAGCGCACGCTTACTAAGCTACGTGGAACGAGTCTTTAAAAAGTATTCCATCGCGCGATTCGCGAACATAAATTCGAGTATATCGACTCGGCTAGAATCGTCTACGACGTTTCAGCAACGAATTAAGAGTCTCGTTTCGAGGAGCCTACGGAAATACGGTTTGAAACGCAGGAACCGGCCGTAGGTACGCGCGAATCGATATCACGTATAAATATATATTTTCCGTCGATTAAACGAGGACCTCGAGGCTCTCCCGCGATCGCGCCTTCTGCTGTCCGCATTTTCCGTTCGCTTGAACGATCATCGCGACCGATTGGCAGCTGTTATCGGCGCTGACAGGTCTGACGGGCGGCATGGCCAGTCGCAGCATGTACCAGAACTTCTGACTACCGGCGGTTGGCTTTCCAGTCTCCTGCCAATGGAGAATCTTCAAACGATCCAGGGCGAGCTCGCCCGTGTCATCGCGGCTCGATCGTTTCGCGATTGTGGTTGCATCCGGCAGGTCCTTCGTGGCGATCACTATCGTTCGCGTCGCGAGGGTCGAGAGTTGCTTTAGGACCGCGGCCACGCTTGTCTCGTTCCAAACGTTACCCAGAGCTGATGGGCTGAGAATCACGATTACTCTTCGACTCGTAGCGGCGTGCGGGCTGATCTCCAAACCCCCTGAAACCAAATTCATTTTTTTAAATATTTCATTATGGACTGTCTCATAGGAGACTAATTTCCTTTCTAATTTTATCATAAGGCCCACTATTCACTTGTATCTGCATATCATATCGCCTTTGCGTGTCGTTTAATGATATGGTGCCGCAATAATGACAAACGTAAATTTAATAATGAATTTCTACAGTGAATTGAATCAACGTTACCATATTTAATTCTGATATTCATT